TATCGGGATTCAGCCCGATATCAGAAATCCAGCTGCGTGTCAGGTGATCAGCTTGCCAATGATATGGTAAGCTCAGGCGTGTCAGTCCCGTGACACAAGGATACCACAAACGATCATTTCGCATATTCAAAAGCAGTTGAGGATGCTGTATGGATATACTGTCCCTTCGGGGACAATGAGGCTATTCAGGAAGTATACTGGGTTCGGAGTACACTAGAAAATATTGATTGGTCTGCTCTGATAGTAAGTGAACTTCCAGGATAGGTGGAAAATCGTGTCTAATCGACATAGGTTAAGACAACAGAAAAAACGGTTTGGTTGGGCTGCTTTTTTAGGCCGCATTTTCGGCGGTGGTCACAATCAGTATTGATTGCGGATAACACGATCCGTGCACTCTATTACAGCGATTCTAACGCCTTATATAACCGGACAATTGGTGCAATTTCTAACCTTACAAGAGACTATGAGTCTTGTATATCCGAACCAGATCCTCCTGTTTACCGCTGTGGTAGACCCGGATATGGTCCGCGCGATTTTGAATGGTATTACTCTAACGCTCCATTAGAGTCAGTCACCAAAATTCAATTGTGTATGGATAAGGAATCTTGCATAGGTATGCTTTTATACTATGGGAGTTTGAAAAGGAGTGTAGGGCAGTACAGGTTCGACAAACTAGCCGCCGATTATATTTGGCACCCGAAATCAATTCTGTACAACCAGCAGAGGGATGGATCAGCAGAAACAGCGCACGTCCAAATCAAGTTTTCGTCTTCCAAGCCAGGCAACATTCGAGAGACTAACGGATACAAGGTGCGTGGGATGAGCGGTTTTATTATTTGGTGGTTTGGGAAGGACAGATCTGATATAGCCTTCACCGACTTATAAAATTCATAATAATATACGAGTCCTTACGTAACCCAATTCTTAACCTCAGTAAAGTAGTATTTCTGGCTTTTTTCACTCCATGTCGTGTCCACGTCAGCTACGAACTTTCCATCATCAAGAGCATCAACCAAGTAGTACTTGTTGGATTGCTTGTCCCACTTTGCTTGGGTCCACTTTGAATTTCCATCATCGTCCATGTAATAATATTTCTTCACTTTGGTGTCCCATGTCGTTTCATAACCACTTAACCAGTCGTTCTAAGGTTAGAAGAAGCGGAAGGTGTCGCTCCATATCCGCTCATGTCATGACCAGAGGCGGCAGAAGCTGCTCCATAGTCAGCTACTCCATAACCCGAAGGGCCAGAAGGTGTTTTTCCGTAACCCGCAGGGCCATAAGATGAGTATCCATAACCCGAAAGGCCAGAAGATGTTTCTCCAAGTGCCGCCATTCCGGAAGGAGCAGAAAGGGAGGCTTCATGCTGCATTAGGAAACTATCCCGCATGTATTCGAAGTATCGAGTGAGTCGCGAAGCTTCTGGACTGTTCGCATCAATATAGTCTGTCCTATATGCAAACTCTGGTAGATTGCACTCGAAAACCCGAGCTGAAGTTCCATGAAAGGCTATCGCCCACGTAGTCGTAGCTCTAGAACCTGCTTCGCAAGCTTGCTGGACTTGAGCTTCAACCATTTCAATCTCCCGCGGTTTCGTCTTGGCTCCTTTGCCTTCGACAAAAGCGCAAACATCTAGACGATTGTCCGATATTTTTGCCACGCATAGGTTGAAGTCCACCCTCCTTCGTCGATTCTCCTTAGCTTCAGATGGAGGTTTCTCGTGAGCCACGATCCAATGTTCGTCCGCGAAGACTTGCTTAGACAAATAATGTGACCAAAAAGTCACCGACTCATGTTCTTGCGCGCCATCGCGGTTGGCCAAAGAGTAGAGCAAGGTAAGGGTGGGGGTGACGAGAAGTGACATGTTTGACTTTTGACGGAAAATGTATTCAATGGGAGAAGTTTTTGATGGGAAAAGTATTTGATGCACACTGTTTCAACGATTTCTTTGGCTGAGAGCTTGGAGTGTTTCGGAGCGCTAAGTTGAAGGCAGTAGGATTGCGTGATGGTTTCTGAATATCGTTGGGAGGATATTTCATCTCTTTGAACATAATGCTCGGTAACCGTCGTCTCTACGCATCTGTCCGCCTCCTCTCCGCCATACATGCTGTTAAGCTCTCAAACAAACAAAACAATTGGACCGTATTGGTTGGTCAAGGTCCTGCTGTAACATCAGTAAAACAAAGTATTTAACAAGGCACAGTATGACACTGATTGGATAACAATAGCTGCACGCAACACCGTATCCTCCACGTCTCCATCCTGTCTTCGTATTGCCAAACATCCTGTCCTGCCTCCATCCAAACATCCTGCTTCCCACATCCTGCCTCCCACATCCTGCCTCCCACATCCTGCCTCCCACATCCCCACATCCTGTCCCCATGCTGTCTCCATGTTCCATGCTGTCTCCTTGCACCTCGCCTCCAACCCGTCTCCATCCCTAGTGCTGAGTAGGCTCCTGCAAGGCGGCCGCGTGGCGATCATTGGCTCTGAGCAGCTGAGTTCCTCCCAGCTCTCTCCAATAGCTCTTGACAAGGGTCCGCAGACTCGGCCAAGGACCTATACGCCGACCCGGCGTCCTTAGGATTACGCCGACCGCCCGCACTTACAGCTCTGATCGAAGTAGGCTACTCTTAAAGATGCTGCACCCGCAAAGCATAATGGGCAAGAATGAAAGCATGGCAACTCTGGCAGTGCTGTCGCATGCGGCTAAACAAATCTAATTGAACCAATACAGAGCCCTCCTGAATCGTTATTAAGAGTGTTTGTGAACCGTTCAATTAAAATGTTGAACTTGGTTTCCGATTGGTATCTGCTTGGTGCCCGCTTGGTACAGTCACATAACAAAAGTTTTGGATGACCGGCGCGCTGCATGCACGATGATTGGCTGCAGTAGGTAGTTCCGTACAACCCTGCAGAGTCATCGTAGGAGCTAGAACCCTTGCTAAAAAGTAAAGAATTCGTGATTGCCAGCTTACTCGCAGCAAGATCGACTCACCAGATCATCGGAAACCAAGCAAACACCAAGCAGATACCAAGCGGATAGCATGCCTTCTGTCACGGAATCACTAGAAGCTGTGTGTGAGATACAAGCAGATGTATTCAGCAGAGCTATTCTATTCGATTGCGTGATGAAAGAGTCAATTCAATTAACAAGACGTTGCGTGAAGAGAGAAAGCAGAAGCAGAAGCAGGAGCAGGTCTGGTGTTCTCAGGGGGTGGTCGGGGGTCTCGGCGCAGCTCGGCCCGGATATCGGGATTCAGCCCGATATCAGAAATCCAGCTGCGTGTCAGGTGATCAGCTTGCCAATGATATGGTAAGCTCAGGCGTGTCAGTCCCGTGACAACAGGGAGGTTTTGGATTAAACGTCCAAAGACATTTCCCTATCCAAATGTACTATATTTTCTAATAAGGAACGAAGTTGTATATCCAGCTATGCTTTTACTACCTTCTTTTTCGCCATCTTTTCAGTGAGCTTTGAAACTTCTTCGTTGCAGCATCAATTTGTTTCTTCAACTCATCAGAGACCAGACCATCGGCCCTAGTACGTTCAATATCGACAGCCTTGCTGATTGCACGCTGGACATGACGGACCCAATCAACATCCATATCCTCATTAGTACAATTTGGATGATCCATCTCGTCCGCTAGAGTCTGGATTATACGTGGGATATGAGTGAATTGCATATAGTGGCCCCCAACGATCGCAGTCGGCTCAAGATTATACCGTACTACTGCGTGAGGAGTGCCGCTTGCGATCGAAACAGCATCACCAACAGAAAGGACCTTGCACAACCAATCGCCGGAGTATAATGGTTCGGATCTGCTGACGCCCTGTAGCCACGCGTGTTTGTCCTCCTCCGAATCAAGCCAGATGAACAAGATACTGCCGTGACAGACACGTAGCCAAGTGGCAAAACCTGAGCTATCCAAATGCGGGAGCGAATGACCGCCTCGGCCAAGTAATAGCCACTGCATAAGCTCTTTGTATTGCCAGTTCTCGGCTCGAAGGCGCTCGTACGAGCTATCCTGGAAGATATAGTTCGAGACATGTTTGAGCAATGTCTTATCCATTCGTAAAGCGGGATCCAGAAACTGATCAGGCATCATAAAAGCGTGGAACATACACGTGAGATCCAAAACATTGAATAAGGCTTGTGGAGGCTCGTCTTTGAGAAAGACATCTTGCACGGCACTAATAGGTAGGGACCGGAAAGATGCTAGCTCGTTATTTGGGATGTCTGAGAGTTGAACAGAGACTTTATGGCTGTTATCTCGAAAAGAAGAGAATATCTGCCTTAAGGTCGATAGCTCCTCTGGTACTGGCAGACCCTTAGCGAACTTGCAAAGCCGAGACTCTCCATGGTGTGGCTTGCAATGGGGAACGAGAGAGTTCAGGCCTAATAAGGTCGTATGAAGCTTTATCGCAGTCCGATGATCCTCCGCAAGCCGTTCAGCCAGCGGATACACTTCGAGGAGATACTTGCTGAAAGCGAGTAACACCTTCTTTGTCGATCTTGACGTGGGTATAGCTGGGTGTGGGATGGGTTGGAGGATTACGTCATCTGACTCTGACGTAGGTAATTTCGGTTGCTGACTTGGTAATGGGACAACTGTCCGCCTCTTAGGTGAAGGCCTACGGACTGGAGGTGGCAGGTCCTTCCGTTTGCCCAGGGCATGCTGACAATGAACATTTAAGGCTGTGATTACTGGCCTTTTGGCAATCCTGGCGGAGAGTGATCGAGAGCTAAGTGGTGCGGCTGGCTTTGGGTCCTCGTCAGCGTCCTCGTCGGCATCCTCGTTGGCATTCTCGTCGGCGTCCTCGAGCTCCGGAACGATCCCGTTGGGCTGTAACTTCTCTAGCCCTGAAGGTTCGAAGATACTTGGGGGGTGCTTTGCAGAATCATGATACTGCGGGATTGGTTCAGTCGGCGTAAAGTTTTGAGGAAAGACTACTCCGAGCTTATCATAGCGCCATGACCCAGAAAGCGGGGCGAAAGAGACGGTCTTCTGATAGCCCGTTCTGATATAAAGCTCCTTCTTTTTCCCATTCCTCCAAGCCAACAGCCACTCTAAATGACGCGTCTGGATCCGTTGTCCGGCGGGGCACGTGTATGATCTGTCGTCGATACTGAGTACTTGATTCAGCATAACCTTTGCGACTTCCCAGGCGTGTTGGTTCGCAACCCTTCGAAGCGCCCTAAGTGTAGTCTGCGACAGGCCAGTCGACGCGTATTCCCGGCAAACTTCAGGTCCCCACTTCTGCGAAATTACCAATAAGGCATTGGTACGGATTTTCCCAGTTTGAACTCTAGAAGTGAACTCGTCTAAAATAGACTTCAGGCCACCCGGGTTGGCGGCGTCGTCCGCAACGAAGGAACTGTTACGTAGATTTGGCTCGTATCGATTTACCAACGAGTTGAGTGCGCAGATCCTGATATCTGTCACGGGACTGACACGCCTGAGCTTACCATATCATTGGCAAGCTGATCACCTGACACGCAGCTGGATTTCTGATATCGGGCTGAATCCCGATATCCGGGCCGAGCTGCGCCGAGACCCC